AGAGTCAAACAGAAAATCAGAGATAACTTAAGTCCAACTGGGAGCCGGACGGAATCAGATCGAAGATGGGTCTGAAGCTGGATTCGAAAAGTGATTCATCATTGACAGCAAAACTGGACTGGAGCAGGGGACTGGGTCGGAAGCGGGAGCCGGAAGGATCCGAGGAATTATCAGAAGGAAAGCGGTACGATCGGAAGTCAAAACGAAACGAATAATGGAATTCAAAGCCGAAGTCGTTCGGAGAAATGCAAGACGGGCTCATTAACGGAAAACCATACTTCTTATTGCCTTTTGTTCCCCTACCGGCATCGGAATCGACATTATCGTCGTGATACTTACTGGTCGTGGTGCTGGTCGTTGGGAATAATAGCCCTAATGCGGCGGCGCTGCTGGTTAGGAGAAATCGTCTCCAGCCCGTTTCGCCTGATACATCATCGCAACTCCAGGCTCCGAGATGCTGCGCGCGAGGTGGTCCAGCCCGTTACGCCTGAGATATCCTCGCAACTCCAGGCTCTTTGAAGATGTGCGCGGGGTGGTCCAGCTCGTTTCGCCTGAGACATCCTCGCATCTCTGGGATCTCAGAAAATGTGCGCGAGGTGGTCTGGCGCGCATCCTCGCAGCTGGGCGCCGAGATGCCGCGCCAGAGGTGGTCTCGTCCGCTTCGCTTGAGACATCCTCGAAACTCTGGGCTCCGAGAGAGAGGAGAGAGGGGCAAGGCGGGGTCACATATATATATATATATATGTATATATACATATACATATATATGTATACATACATATATATATATGTATATATAAATGTATATATACATACCCCAACGAACCACTTGATTTTACGTACACTGTCGAGTTGTGCTCTGGGGAAGTCTGGGCGCCCCTGGCCCGACGGAGGAGGAAGCCGGTGCGGAGCGCGAGCAGGATTCCGCAGTGCACTGGTCACGGGAGGGCCAGGAGTACATCGTGAAGATGCCTCGGCGAGAGCAGGAGGAGGCAGAGTGGGGGAGGAGAAAGGGGAGGAGAGGAAAGAACTCCGAGATGCTGCGCGAGAGGTAATGGAGGAGGAAGACGGGGCCAGGCTCAAACGCGATCTTTTTGAAGCCATCCCTGACGAGGGTGCCCCTGGCATGGCGGAGGAAGCGGAGAAGAGAAGGGAAGAGCAGGGAGGAGGAAGAGGAGGAGGAGGAAGGAGGAGGAGGAGGAAGATGCGGAGGAGGAGGATCAGGGGGAGCCTAAGGAGCAGGAACAGGAGGAAGAGGAGGAGAAAGAGTAGCAGGAGGAACAAGACGGGGAGGACGAGGAGGAGGAGAAATGCGAGGGCGAGGAGGAAGAGGAGAAGAATGAGGAGGAGCATTGCGAAGCGGAGGAGGACGAGGAGCACGATGAGGAGCGCGAGGAATACAAGGAGGAACACGGCGAGCATGAGGAGCAGGATGAGGAATATAAGGAGGTCGATGACGAGGTCGAGGATGACGAGAATGAGGAGGAGGATGAGGAAGAAAACTATAACGCGAGGAATCGTACCAGGAGCAAGAGGACGACTTTGTTTGAGGGGGCGAGAAGGAGTGAGATGAAGATATACAGGAGGAGTAGAGGGAGGATGATGATGAGGAGGGGGATGAGGATAACGAATAATAGCAACATATAGGGGATAGGGGACGAGGCGGAGGAAGAAGAAGGATAATAAGAAGACGAAGACGAAGAAGAGGGGCAGGAGGGCCAGTAGGATCAGGATGAGGAGGATGACGAGGACGAGGACGAGGAGGAGGAGGAGGAGGAGGAGGAGGAGGAGGAGCGGGAGGAGGAAGGGGGATGATGAGGAGGAGGACTTGTAGTGGAAGGGGGAGGGCGAGGGCGAGACGGAGAATTACGTGGATGCGGGGAGCAAGACGACGACGATCACGGAAAGCTCGACGAAGACGCCGAAGACACAGGCGGATCAGAAGCAGGAGAAAACGCGGAACTCTTAGGAGTCACCTTGGCTAAAATAATGCTGTTTGTGAATGCTGGGCTCTGGCTAGCATCGATTTTCGAATCTGGGAGGCCCAGAGCTCGGACATGGGGTGAGTTCTGACCAGACTTTCGGTGCGGGTCCAGCTGTGGCCACGAGGGCGCCCCAGGACCATCACAAACACTCGTAAAGTGAACCTCGAACCTTGAAGGCGGCGGCATCAGCTTTTGGGCTCCGTGGCGTCGGCCGCTCCGACGGCGGCCCTCGCACGTGACCCAGGGCGCCGCCCGACGCATCGGCGGGGGCTCGAGGCCTTCTAGATGAGGTCGGGGGATTGTGCCGCATCGCCGATGCATCGCCGATGCATCGGCGAGGTCGTCGTGGAGGAAATTGGGCTTCACAAGCGATGTATCGGCGACGTCGGCGTGGAGGAAAATGGGCTCCACATCGACCCGCATCGATGCGGCGCTCGGCGATGCAGCGCGGTCCTCGGACCCCATCTGCTCCGATCCCATCTGCGAGGCCTAGTGGGGCGGCCCGCTGCCATTCGTCACAGCTCCAAACTTTTCTTGTTGTCCACGCTGGTCGGCAGCTCGAAGTCGGCTGGGATCCCGAGCTTGTCCTCGGGGCCCGCGCGGTGTGGGGGAAGCTTTCGAGGTCTTCGGGCGTTCGACGTTCGCGAGGTTTCCGGCTGCTTTCGTCGGCTGTCGGCTCTTGGGGTCTGTCCAGGCGCGGGCCTTGGGGTGCTCAAGTCCTCTACAGTGTTTTCCTATATTTCAACGCCTGGGAAAATAAGAAGAGCGGACACGAAGCGAAGAAGGGACAAGAGGGCAAGCGGGCACGACGCGAAGGGGGGCTCCCGCTCGAGATTTCCCCGCTATTCGCTCACAGGCGAGGCCCCCGCTCGAGACGTCCTCACGATTGGCCCCCCTAGGGTGCTCACGCGCTGTGCCTGCTACAGTGCGCCGATGCCCCGCGGAGACAAAATACACGAGGCGGGGGCCGCATAGGGAGAGGGCTCCCGCTCGATATTTCTTCGCTATTCACTCGTAGACGACGCCCCCGCTCGAGACATCCTCACGAGTGGCCCTCTTGGGGTGCTCAATTATGCCTGCTGCAATGCGACGATGACCCGCCAAGACTAAAAACAAATTCTCCAGGCTCTCTTGGTTGTGCAAATTCTCTAAATTCTCAAGGTTTTACGTGTTCTCCTTGGGTTCTCCGGGCTCTCCGGGTAGTCTGGGTTCTCCCGGTTCTCTGGCTTCTCAGGAAACTCTGGATTCTCTGGGTTCCCTGGGTTCTCGAAATTCTTTGAATTCTCTAGGGGTACTCCGTGTTCTGATTTTGGCTCTCTGTGTTCTCCAAATTTTCCAGAAGTCTCCCGTTCTCCGCGTTCTCTGGAGGTTCTCGGGGTGCTCTCGGGGTTTTCCGAGGGTTGTTCGGGTTCTCCGTTCTCCTATACTTCTCTGGGGGTCTCTCTGCGCGGGTTCTCCAGGTTCTCCGGGTTCACCAGGGTTCTCCAAAAGTTCTCGGGGAGTTCCCCAAGCTCTCTGGGTTCTCCGGCGGGGTCTCCGGATGCTCCAAAGGTTCTCCAGGTTCTCCAAATTCTCCGGGTTCTCCGAAGTCTCCGGGTTCTTCGGGTTCTCCGTATTCTCCTGGTTCTCTGGAGGTTCTCCAAAGGTTCTCTGGGGTTGCTCTGGGGTTTCTCCTGATTGGTTCACTGCAGCATGGCTCTGTGGGGATTCTCAATTCTCCGGGGGTTCTCCGGGGTTCTCTGGGTTCTCTAGTATCTCCGCGGTCTCGGGGTTCTCTGGGTTCTCCAGGGTATTCTGGGGGGGCCTCCGGGGGTTCTCAAAAGGCTCTCGCGGGGCTCTCCTGGTTCTCCAGAATGGTTCTCGGGGTTCTCGGGTCTCTCGGTTGTCTGGGGGTCATCTGGGCGGGGTGATTTCCTGGTTCTCTGGGTTCTCCTCGTTCTCTGGGTTCTCCGCGTTCTCTGGGCCCTCCAGGTTCTACGCGTTCTTCAAATTCTCCATCTCCATGGATTCTCCAAGTTCTCCAAATTCTCCAAATGGGTCTCTGGGGGTTCTCATGGAATTCGCCCGGCTCGCCGGCTTCTCCGAGTTCTCTGGCTTGTCTCGGGCTTGCTGGGGTTCTCCGGGGGCTCTTTGGGTTTTCCGTGCTCTCCCAATTTTCCTGCGGTTTCCTTGGGTTTTCCTGCGGTACGCCTCCAAGTTCTCTGGGTTCTCCGGGGTCTCTCCGCGGTTTCTCCAGCTGTGGCACCATGTAGCACGCGAGAGCCACAGCGGGCCCTGGTCGAATCGGGCGGGCGGGACATGGAAGTATAAGGCATCAGAGAGGGAGCACGCGAGAGCCCCAACGGGCGGGTCAAGCCGAGCGGGTGGGACATTCAAATATGATGCATCATCGAGTTGGCACAGCAAGGGAGCCTTAACGGGCGGGTTAGGTCTAACGGGCGTGACATTAAAGTATGATGCGTCATGGGGCTGGCACGCTAGAGTCCTAACGGGCGAGTCTGGCCGGGCCTCTCTGCGTTCTCTGGGTTCTCCGGGTTCTCTGGTTCTCGGTTCTCTGGAAGTTCTCCGGGGGTTTTCTGGGTTCTCTGGTCTCTCCAATCTCGCCGCGCTCTCGGGGTTCTCCGGGTTCTCCAGGTTCTCAAGGGGGTTCTGGGTGTTCTCCACAGGCTCTCCCCTGCAAGACATATTCAATCTTTCTAAGATGCGGTCGCGCCCCGGTCTCAGCGGGGAGCCCTCCGTTTCTGTTATGTTATCGATCTGCATTTGAGAGTCGCTTCTCTTGTGTGCGCGGGGGCGCCCGCGTAATTGATTATCTTCGGGCATGAAGAAATAGGTCGGCGGTGGGGGGCGGCGGAGTCGAAATTTCTTATCCCCAGACAAATTCCGAACCGAAGTTACCTTCTTCTCATGTTTAAGAGCAACATAAGCAAGGGGCCGTCTTTGACCGTCTAGGGCCGTCTTGGAGCATTATTGGGCCATCTTGAAGTCATCGTGAGCCTTCTCTTTCCATCTACC